CCCCAAAACCCCAAAACCCCAAAACCCCATTATGCAAGAAATGATAAATGCATTGAAAAAATTATATTTCCCCAAATGCAAAAATAATTAGAAAATTCAATATTAAGGATTATAAAAAGTCAACTTCTATAAATAATCATGAAATTTTTAATAAAAAATCCTAAATTTACTTATTTATGTAAAAAAAAACACTGAAAGAATGTAAATTTAATCATTAGCTGTTTGAAAGTATTTAATTTTAATAAATAATCAAAGAATTAGTAAATAAAATTAATATTAGTAGCTACTCCTTGATTTTAAATTTATGTATTAAATGATCAAAATATTAGATAATGCAATTAATATCTGTCTAATTAAATTACAGATAAATTAAATTGACTCTTAAAACTAATTCTCAATATAATGTCTTAAGCATTCATTTACAAAGATTTTTGGCTAACATCCTATGTCTAATTTCTTTATAAATCTATTTTAATTATCTATTATAAGCTCAGAGAAAAGATTCTGCTTTCTTAATTTTTATAGATATATTTATTAAAATGAATGAGTTTTTAACGGAAACATTAACTTATCCTTTCCTTATGACTTTAATATTTAATTTCTTCACAAGTAAACTCATACTGTTTCATGTTCTCAGGGAAATATGGAGATCATTATTGCTTTGCAATTAACCGATGGATTTAATTAATAATTTAATGACGAAACTGGCATTAGAACAATTTATACACTTATAATTGCTGAGAAATGCAAACTAGATATCAAATTAGAGATTCCTGGCTATATAAAATGCTTATTTCTCAATCATCATTACTCAAATACTGCTAGGAAGCAATCAATCAGAACAATAATAACTGTTTGAATATCTTGCGTGATAATTAACAATTAATCTTCAACTCAATGATATTAATTGAAATGAGGATTTACTGTGTTGTAATTCTTGAATCTTCTTTTCTTGTTTTGATTAGATACAATTCTAAATTTTGAAATTATTCTTACAATTTCCTCTTTAGCACAAGGTTATACTAAAAAGAAAGATATATAAAGCGTAAGACATTGAAAAATTGTTTTTAAAAATACAGAAGTGTGAAATTCAAAGATGCCAAAATCATTGAAATGAAGAAAGAGCAAGACTAGTCTACAAGCCCACAGAGCAATTAAAAATGTTTTTGATAAAAAAGAACTAGTTTCACTTGGCAATTTAGCTCTTAAGAAAACTTACTCTTCAAGAGCAGACTATAAACTTAAAGAGATATTAAATTAATAAATGGGCGTGTGATTTTATAATGCAAAAACAACATTATAGGTTTAAAATTTAGAAAATAAAACCTAAATTCATATTATAAGTATTGATCATGTTTTTTCCCCTCTAAATCTTTGTCTTTCTCTTCTTGCATCTCTTGAATCTTGCTAGGTTAGTTTATCTGTGATTACTTAATTCTTAATCAATGATGCTCATCAGTATTAGTTGCAGTATATGTCCTAATTTAATTATTATAAGTGGCACCATATCTATCTATTTTCTTATACTCATCACTATAGATATCATAGATGAGAAGAAGCTAGATTCTATTTTATTAAAGAGGAAGTTAAATGCTGAATTTAGTGGAAATTTTTCATTAAAAAACTGTTGGGGGTATTGTATTTAATAATCTTTATTTACTTAGGTATGATTAAATCAGGGACTACTCCAAGTACTATTAATAGCTTCTAGAATAAGTTAAGGATTCTAGATGAGGAAAAAAGACTCTTAGCAATGAAGCTTGATCTATGCGAAAATATCCTTTGCTTTGTAATGTTATATTATAATAGTTTCTCAGGCTATCTCCTTTACTAATTAGTACACAATAAATTTTATTCTTAATCTTTAGTTTGGCAAGCTTTTTCATGAATTGAAATATTAAATGTTTGAACTATCATAATAATGACTCTCATCATCATTAAAGTAAATAAATTAATATTGTCATATTTAAATTAATATATTTGATAGCTGCTTTCTTGCACTATGGATCATCAGTTCAAACTTGGAGATAAAATAAAGAATCCTGTCTATGATAAGTACTATAATGATTCTATTGAAAATCCTTACGCATTTTTTGACAAAATAAGCAATATTATTCATTGGGAAAAACCTTATACTAAGATTTATGATCCTATTTTGGGGCCCTTAGGGTAATGGTATGTGGGAGGTAAATTGAATGCAGCTTATAATTGTCTTGAGAAATAAATTTCTTAAGGCCTTGGAGACCACATTGCATTCTACTATTATTGCCAATACGAAGAAAAAACTGTAGGGTACACCTATTAACAGTGCTATGATATATCCTCAAGGATTTCCTATTATCTTAAAAATAACCTCTAGCTTTAAGAGAATGATGTGGCAATATAATATTTGCCAAAGATTCCAGAAAGTATATTCCTCTAACTAGCTTTAGCAAGAATAGGAGTTATAAATCATTTTATTAGTATTACTTACCCTAAAGAAGAAGTACATCGAAGAATTATTCAATTGAATGCTAAGTGCTTTTTTACAACGGATGTTGTATATAAGAGTTTTGATGAGATAGTTAACTATCAGAAAATAATGGATGACTTCTTTAAAGATAATGATATCGATAGTATCCATTAGTTTCACAAGGTATTAGTACCTCGGTGCTCTTCAAGCAGTCTCTAGCTTGAAAAATGGGTAAATATTAATGAAATGATTAGCTGTGAATCTACTCAAGAGCCACTCTTCGTTGATTCTAGTCATCCATTATATATTTTAAATACATCAGGATCCACAGGCGTACCCAAATATATTTAAAATTCTCACTTAAGTCCATCTTTTTCAGGTTTCTATTAAGAATTAGTAAAGGGTTGCAAGAAAGATGATGTTATTCTTGCAGTTCCTTCTTCATTAGGCTGGATTGGGCATGAGATCTTCTTGTCTCTATCATGCATGTCAAGAGGAGGAACATTCATTTAATTTGAAGGAAATTTGCTTGCTCCGGATCCTACAATTTTCTGGAAAATAATTTAAGATTTTAAAGTTACTTTGGCCTAATGCGTAACGACTGTTCTATATTCAATTTAATGCTAAGATCCAGATGGTACTGAAGTAGCAAAATTTGATTTCTCATCACTCAAAACATTGATATTTGGGGGAGAGACATACAATGATAACATCTTCAAATGGCTTTCAAAATATATCCCATAGAATATTAATATAGCGGACATTTATGGTTAAACAGAAACTGCATATACTAATATTAGCAATATTTTAAACAATGAATTGTTTGGATCTCCTTTTGTCAATAATTATCCTACTCATTACAGAGCAATTCCAGGTTTCAACATGAAAATAATAGATGATGAAGGGAAAGAGATCAATGAGCCTGGAGTTACTGGAAGATTAATGATAAAACTTCCTTTACCTCCTGTATCAATGAATACAATTTACTAAGATGATGAGGCTGTCAAGACAAAATATCTCTCTGTTCCAGGTTATTTTGATTCTGGAGATATTGCATACAAAGATTGTAATGAATTCTTCTATGTGAGAGGAAGGTCAGACTCTGAAATTAAACATAAGAACCATAGAATATTAACGACTGAAGTTGAAAACGCCCTTCTCTGTTAGGTAAGTGAGTTATCAGAAGTTATATTGATTAAACCAGACGACTATAGCCAAATTTCAGCATTTATAGTTTTAAAAAAGTAGAATAGTCCAATTCAATCCAGACAAGAATTTGAGAAAAAGATTATTGAGGTTGTTAAGGAAACAACTTTTGGTTTAGTTGATTAATTAAATCTTATATATTTGGATGAGCTTCCAAGAGGAGCAACAAGCAAAGTAAATAGATTAAAACTTAAGCAAATGGTAAATGAAATTTAGAGTAGTGATTGATGGAGAGTTGATTAACTTGATCAATTCTCAAAGAAAAGTATAAACTCAGCTAGTAAGGAGTTTCAGGGTTTAAGAATTAATTACATCTTATGCTTTTCAAATTTATTTTATTCAATCAATTCAAGAGAATTATTATAAAATGGGGTTTTGGGGTTTTGGGGAGATCGGAAGAGCGTCGTGT